ATAAAAACTAGTTCTTTTGTAGTCCATATTTCAAGATAACAATTTCACAAACTCCAAAAAATTCAGCAAGTTTTAAAAGAGATTGCCACACCAAAATTCAACACAGATTTGTTTCATATCCATCTATTACTCATGTACCAAAGCAAGCAAAATAATAATTACAGAGGTTCTTCTAAATTCAGTCACAGAACCTAAAGCAAACAAAGATGAGGCATCAGATGGCATTTCCACTAATAGCAAATATTTAAGTATGTCTTGGCAAATTGACAGGTGTCACCTTAATAAAATATCAAATTTATGAGACCCTATCAATAAGCTGTCACATTTCAAACAGCCCCGAAATAAGAATATAAACAGCATTGAATCTTGTGTTTAGTGGGGAGAGGGGACACTATAATTTTTTAAAATGAAACACAAAATCTATGGACAAATAGAATGTATATTAATTAGTTGACAGTTGTTAGTCTATATAAAAGTATTTTTCTCTTTTAAATATATTTTATTGATTTTTTAACAGAGAGGAAGAGAGAGATAGAGAGTTAGAAACATCGATCAGCTGCCTGGGGATGTGCTCGCAACCAATAATTTAATAATTTAATACATGCCTTTGACCAGAATTGAACCGGAGACCTTTTAGTCTGTAGGCCAACACTCTATCCACTGAACAAAACCAGTTTCAGCAAAAGTTATTTCTTGAATATAAGATTCCAATACGCAGCAAGTCTTTTTCAAGGCAATCAAAGCCTATTGTTCATTTATCCTTTGGAGCAGGGTTGACTAGCTACATCCCAAGGGCCAAATCCAGCCAGACTGTTTTTGTACAACCACGATTTAAGAATGGCTTTCACACTTTTAAAAATGGTTGTAAACAAACAAAAAAATGTACTAGAGACACTCTGACAGGCAAAGCCTTATAATTTATCTAGATTTTTTTTTTGTCAATCTGTTTTAAGGTAATATATTTAAAAACCAATATGAACAATATGATCTGAAATCAATATGGTTTTAATAACTTAATAAATTATTTCTTATAATTCAGCCAAGATTAAAGCCAGAACAAGTTTTTAAACTTTGAAATGAGAAGTTTTATAGGAATTACTGCCAATTCTGGAAGTAGTCTCAGACACCACTATAATTTTTAACATTTCACTGATCCTAAAATTTTTCTATACTTCCAAGACATGTCACCTACTCAAGAACCTTTTGTTTTATTTAGCATGAGACCAAAAGAAAAACATTTGCTATTAATAACTACATAATAAACCACATCCTTAGTAATCTTTTACTAACTTAAAACTGATCAAGTTGAAATTTTCCCATTACCTCACAAAGTCTATACACTGGCATTTTAACCTTTCAATCAATAGAAGAATTTGCCTTCACTTCAAAGCAGTTTTGATTTAGCAAATAATTTGTAAACTATGAGTGCACCTCCTACAGAATGTGCAAAGTACTTCAAAATAGACTTATACTACAGAGAAGTTTAACAGGGCAGACCAATGTCCTTTGTAAGGTAATAATATCAAAGTTTTTATGTGTAATCTAAAGAAGTTGCATTATTTCTTTTTTTTTTTCCCCGGAGGGGAGGAGGGAGTTTAATCTTCACCCCAGGATATTTTTTCCATTGATTTTGAGAGAGACAGAGAGAGAGAGAGAGAGAGAGAGAGACACAGACAGACATCTATGTGAGAGAGACACATTGAATGGTTATCTCCCACATGCACCCGGACCAGGTCAAGGATTGAACATGAAACCCAGGTATGTGGCCTTGACCGGAATCGAACCCAGGACCCTTCAGTCTGCGGGCCTTGCTCTAACCACTGAGCAAACGGCCAGACCAGTATTATTTCTTAAATCCTGAAAAGTAACATGCTACAGATTATAATTTCATTCGAACAGCAATGGAAAGAAAATTACCAGTGGTCTAAATGACCCTACTAGCAGTTTGTTACTTCGTTACCTGGTCCTTACTTCACAGAACATGAGTGACCCAGGTTTCAGATGCGTTTCAGCCTTCATTCAGCATGTGAGAGCTGAGCCTTCATTTGGAATGGTAGTGCCACTGACAGGCCACTGGGGCCAATCACTTAACATCTATTATATGAGCTTAGGTTTACTCACTTAGAAGGAAAGGACTGGTCTATCGGTTTTCTAGGGTCTCTTCATCCATCTCTAGGATCCTGATGTTGTAACTGAGATTTTAAAAACTCTTTGTAACCTGCCTCATTTCCTATAAAGTCTGAAGCAGCTCATATCTCACAACAATACACAAAGAACATAATACACAAAAGAAGGGGGGAAAAGAGCAGCAAAGGTAATACCAGAAATTAGCCTACATCATTTAATGCGAACATATTTTTAAGTTAAGTCAGAAAATTGAGAAAAAAGATCTCTTTCAAGCTAGGTGCCGTAAACCTGAAGAAACCATTTTCTAAAATAAGTCTTAAAAATCCCTCGTAAGTCATCCAATACCCAAATACAGTAAGCACACTCCACTTTGAAAGGAAAACACAAAGCTGCCTTCAAAATAAACTTTTATCAAGAAGTCACTTTCAGCCGGGACCGGTTTGGCTCAGTGGATAGAGCGTTGGCCTGCAGACTGAAAGGTCCCAGGTTCGGTTCCAGTCAAGGGCATGTACCTTGGTTGCGGGCGCATCCCCAGTAGGGGGTGTGCAAGAGGCAGCTGATCGATGATTCTCTCTCATTTATGTTTCTAACTCTCTATTCCTCTCTCTTCCTCTCTGTGAAAAATCAATAAAATATATTTAAAAATTTTAAAAAAAGTCACTTTCAGTCCTCGCTGTTTGGTTCAGTGGATATAGAGCATAGATCGGAGTGTGGACTGAAGGGTCCCAGTTTCAATTCCTGTCAAGGGCACATGCCCAGGTTACAAGCTTCATCCCCAGTAGGGGGCGTGCAGGAGGCAGCAGATCAATGCTCCCTCTCAATCTCCTCTGAAATCAAGGGGGAAAAAAGTCACTTTTCAAATAATTTCGAGTTTACTTTTTGAACTTGAGAGAACAAATGAAAGAAGGACAAGCATTTGACACCAGAGGAAAAGAGACTGCCAAGCAGTGAAAGGACACTGGCCATTCATTCCTGAGACCCACCTGGCCCTCAGGGAGCTCCAGAGCCAGGTGAGGATGCAATGCAAATGACAGCCCAGCTTAAAGCATTCAGACTTGCTCCAGATCAAGTCAATTTTGTAATTTCCTAAATTTGAATCTCAAATAAAGGATCTTGAATTTCTAAGAGGCAAGGACTCCCATGGATTCCTCTTAGTTTTTGAGGAGCAAACGGATACCCAAAATATATGGGAAAAAATATAACCAAAATGGTATTTGCCTTCAAAGATACTTGAAAATTTTAGATTAAAAGATACATACCATATCACCAATAACCAAAAGCACTCAAGAGGAAAGTTTTCCCATGAGAAGTGTTGTAAAAAACACAGAATTATAAAGATATCACACATTACTTTTTTTAAAAAAGATCAAGGAAAGGTTTAATATCAAGATTTTACTTCCTTTGCAGAAAATAAACAAAAGCGCAAAATAACTCAAACAGCAATGCTCTCAGCAGCAAACTTTCACTTTTTCATAGCTGGCAACTGAGAAGCAACCGAAGAGACACAATGAATTTGTTTCACCTGCCCTCCTTTCCTTTCGGGGCAAGCCCAGGTCTCCTGGAAAAGCCAGGGGCCACCTTTCCCCCAGGCAATCACCGCCTCCAGTACGCCCAGCTGGGTGACCCTATGACTTTCAGTAGCTCCATTTCCTCAACAACTGAAACACTTGTTCCAAAAAGACAAGCCGCCTCATCCAGTTGCACAACTGCGGAGAGAAGTGCCAAGTTGAGAGAGACCAGCGCAGACAGAATCGGGGTCAGAGACTGGTGAACGAGGGCTTTCCTTCAAGCACTTCCTCTACCACCTTCATCTTTTCGAGAGTTATGTATTTTATAAGATCTAAAAGCCTAAATCACTTCAGGGAGCAGCCCCCGCCAACCGAGGCCTACATTGACCCAGAAGTCTTTCTTCTTCGGGACGTTTGTCCTCCCCGAGGGCCGCAGTGACATGGACGGAGGCTGCTGGGCAGCTGGACAGCACTCCAGGGCATTCCTTTAAGGAACAGATGGGGAATAAGGATCTCACTTTCGTTCGCGTGAACAAAAAGCTGCCAAACCATCGCGCCTTATACCTTAATGGGGCGACTTCACAGTATGTAAAACTGAATTTCAAAAAAAAATTAGATTTTTTTAGATTTTAAAAAAAGCTAGGAAAAAAAGGGCTGCCGAGTTGACAGGAGTTAAAAGAACAGTATTGCTCAGGAACGAGGCCGGAGTTTCAACCCCTCAAATGTAAACGAAATGAATGGCTGCCGACAGAGGCGGTGAAGACCCGACCAACTATTGATTGGGGTGCATCCACTGTATCTTAAAAAGCAGCAGCCTGAGAGGGTAGTCCCCAAAATGAAAAATTTCATTGTGAGACAGTCCAAGAGCCGCAACTACCGTGGATGTGCTTCTCTCCCTCCCGGTGGCTATTGTCACACGGAATCACGTGACTAGGATTGCAACTAGGAAAGGCTACAATGCAGCACGGAGCAGGTAGGAACTGATATGAAAACTTTGGAAGAGTACTTTCCCCAATATTAATCCAAACATTTCGTCCTGTATTTCAATCACTTGCAAGGAAATGAAACCCCTTCCCCATCAATGCAAGCCCTGCGTTTCACAGCCGGGCGTGTTTTACAGCAAAAAAAATAATAATAATATAAAGTAAAAATGAAACCCTCAGCCATTCCGGGGCCCAAGCCCGCCACCGGGGTGGGCAGAGGCCTGCGAGGCTGCACGGCCCCGGCGGCCACGCGGCAGGCCCGGGGCACCGCTGATCGCAGCCGCGCCTGGAAAAGGCCCAGGGTCCTGCAAGCCTTCCCCAAGGGTACGGAGGCGTCCGCCCGCCCGTCCTCCCGTCCGGCCCAGGGCGCCCGGTACGGTACCTCATGCTGTAAGCGCCGGCGCCCAGCTCCTGCCCGATGCCCGTGAGACTGGCGTCGAAGTCGTGCACCAGCCCGGACTCGATCACCTCGTCCATCTTGAGCACCCAGGCCATCTTCCGGCCTCGCCGTCACCCGGCGCGCGGCGCGCGGCGCAGAGGCCAGAGCTCCGCCGAGCGTCCTGGGGGAGGGCGCGGGTGAAGCCTCCGCGGCGCGGCGCGTGGTCACCAGCGGCGGCCGGGGCGGCGGCCGGCGCGAGAGCGGCCGGGGCCCCGCGGGCAGGGCAAGGCGAGGAGCTCGGGCGGGAGCGGCAGGGCCGCCGGCAGCGCCTCCCTCCCGCGGGCGCCGGCCCCGCGCCTCATGCCGCCGCCGCCGCCGCGCCCAACCCCAGCGCCGCTAGCGCTGCAGCCGCCGCCGCCGCCCGTCCCGCCCCGGGGCGCCCGGCTGCATCCTCCCCTGGACTGCGCGGGGAGTGGAGGGAGGGCGGGAATTCAACCCGCTCCGACGACCGCGCGGGGGGTGAGCCCGCCCGTCCCCCGGTGCCCGGCCTCGACCCCCGGGCTTCAGCCCGCCCGCCCAGGCTCTCCCGCCCCGGCCAACCCCGCCGACGCCGGTCCGCGGGCCGCGGACGATGGCTTCGCCACAGCTCCGGCTCGAGCGCACTCGCCGCTTCCGCCTCGTACGGCTCCGCCCCGGCCCTGCCCCCGCCCCCGAGAGTGCCCCCCGGCCCAGGCCCGCCCCGCAGGGCCCCGCGCACGGGACAGTCCCGGCGCTTCCCGGCGGAGGCACTCTCCCTTCGGGGAGGCGCGACCCCGCCCACACGGCGAGTTCCCAACCGGGGCGGCCCGCTGCCCTTTCACACCGGCCCCGGAAGAGGCGGGGCCAAAAGGCTGTCTGTTTCCGTCCTTCACGAGAAGCTCATTGATTGACAGGCGAACTGAGCAATAGAGGCTAGTGCTTGGTCGAAACTCCCGTGAGCCTCTGTGCCCCTGTGCTAAACAGCCAATCAGAATGTTCTTCCTCTTGGGCGGGTTCTAAGACTGAACTTGCTGCCAAAAGAAGGAGTCCATTGGGTCGTACTAGATCCCACTTCCTGTGGTGAGTTACTCCTCTATGGTCTTTTTTTTTTTTTTTTTCTCACACTACCGAAGAGAAGGCGGGTGGGAGTCTTACCCAATAGGCTCGCATCCTATTTATGGACGGAAAGGCCCATTGGGCAGAAAAACTTTGATTGACATGAATGTAAGCCAATCAATGGTTCCAGAAAGAGTTCCCACAATTGCTGATTCCTGGGAGCAGTATGGCGAGCTGGAGTTACAACTGTGGGTTCATTAGCAGTAACAGCTGGCAATCGTGTTATTTGTTGTCTTGCATTTAATTGTACTCGGATTCACTGGGCTTAGCTAGGAGCTTCTTATTCAGGGTGCAGTTATATGACTGGGACTAAAGTCGCCTCAAGGGCTTCTGTACTGAGGAACACAGGAATGAAATGACATCGGTAGAGTCATTCTGCCAAATGAAAATTAAGTTGGTTGAGGTGTTGCAGGCAATTAGACGTGAGTAGAACAAGGACGACGGGCCAGGCAGAGAAGGTCACCACGGTGGAAAGTCCTTGGAGCCTTGCAAAGGACAATTGTAGGGTGGGCCCTTGCCCCCAGGGTGATCTTTCCTCCCCTAGCATATCGCTGGTCCTGTGGTTTGGGCTCCCTAGAGATAACATCTAGGCCTCAGTTGTATTTCAGCCCCAGGCCCTGGAAAGCAACAAAACGGGATAAGCCACACCAAAGCGGACCTCAGGACCAGCTGCATTGAATGATGCCCCCCCCCCCCTGCCCTGGTACCACAACCCTGATAGGACAGACCCAGAAAACTGCTGCACATTCTATTGAAATCTTCCCAGGGGTGGGGAGAACTACCCCAAAGTCTCCACCCTTCAAACCCTTAGGGCAAAGGACCCAGCAGGCTCTCCCACCCTGGAGCATGCCCACACCTTTCCCGTAATCCTTTCCCCTTCTTCCCCTTTCCCCATTCCCCAGGCGTTTTACGATTAGCTTCCTCACTCCCAAACTCAAACGGCCCCTTTTTTTTACTTCTATAAATGTTCTCTTATAGTGGGAGTCTTGGTTCTGAAACCTTTCCTAGCCAGAACTCAAGTACTAAGGTCGCTAAACCCAGATCTGGTCTGACCCCACAGGTGTAACACCCAGTGCTGTTCCAGCCACCTACAACAGAGAAATGGGGACAAAATTCTTCTGTTCTTGATTTACTAGCCTGGGAACTTACGACTTTTACAGTCCTGCTTCGATGCTTGCATATACATCAAACCTCAGATAAACCTCTGATTACGCCCTGGAGGACTAAGGAAAAAGTATCCAGACATCCTGGAGGACTAAGGAAAGAGTAGTCAAGTATCCATACCACCTGACATATATTATCCATGCTGCCTGACCTCCATTGTCCAAACCACCTGAGCATTACAATCTAGGACCAGCCCAGAGGCTAAGAATGCAGGACTGATTCTTCTCCAGAATGCGCCTTTAACTATAAGAAGCTTTTCTTCCTTCTTCAGAACATCCTGGGTAATACCTCATTGTGTGTTTACTTTGCAAACCCTAAGACCCTTGAATAAATATTTATTTTTAGCCAAAGCCTCCCGATTTATTTTCCATCAGTCAACAGTACTCACATGTTCATAGCTGGATCCTGGTTGCTGTCTGGCACCTCAGTTGGGGCTGCTGGAATTCCTACAACAAAAATCCTGTAAGGTGGGTTTACCCAGAACTCCCCTTACGAGCTTGGTGTTTTCTCTTAGTACTTTCCCATCCACTGCCTCCAGACCTGCACCTGGGCTCTAAATGCCTATTTACACATGTGGAGGTAAGCCCAGGCTCTTCCACTGCAAAATCACATTGCAGTGGTCCCTATATCGATTGTGATGCTCCTGAATGAAGTCTGCCTTGCCATCTTTTAACAAATGTTGACTATATTATTTTTAACACTGAAGACCCAGGACCAGAAATCTTTATTCTGTAGCGTATTTTATTAGTCAAGCAGCCACATAATCAGATTGATGGGAGTAGAGTGAAATAATTTGGAAGTCATGTTTTAAAATTTCCAAACTCCACACTCTGGCTACAAATGTTTGACATTTGATGACCTTGACAGTTTTGAGGAATACTGGCCAAATATTTTGTATGATGCCTCTCTATTGGAATTTTTCTTATGTTTTTCTCATTTTATTGGCTTTGAGGAAGAAAACCACAGTGGGGAAAGTGCCCCTTTATTGCATATAGCACATGATTTACCAATGTGGATATTGACTTTGATCACCTGGCTTGTCTGGTTTCTCCACTTTTTTTACCCTAATTTTGGTAATGTTTGTCTTCTCTCTTTTTCTTGGTTAGCTCGTTGATTTTCCTATTTTCAATTTCATTGATTTATTTTTTGTTACACTGTTGTCTTGCTTTAAAAATTATATTGTTCTCAAGAAGACAGTGCCTTCCTCCTTTTATTTAGAAGTAATTGATCTGTTTGATTCCAGGCCCAGAGGATTTCTCCCATTACCTTTAAAGTCTAGTGGTTTTCCTAGGTTATGTCTAATAATTATTTTAGAATAATTTTTCCAGGTATGCCTTTTGATTATATTGATTCATATCTTCTTTTCTTTCTGGAAGGTATTTTTGGATTTTAAATATTCATTTTTTAAAAATATTTATTCCCTTTTGTTGTGTGTGTGTGTGGTTTTATTTTTTGTTTAAGAAACTCCAACTGTGTGGATGATGATCACTTTTGCCTATTTTCTACCAGTTCTTTTTGTGATTACTTTTACCACTGTTCTTATTTCATTTTCTTGAATGTTTTCATTTATTTCCTCACTATCTCATTATATTTTTCTGTGAAAATTGTTTTATCTTGAATATTTTATTTTAGTCTTTTTCTCTGAGTATCTTTGAGATCTTTCTTGAATTTTCCTTCTATGTCCTGTCAACTCTATTTCATACCTGTTTTACATCCACACATATCCTGAGTTTTTGAATTTTTGATATAAAGTGTTATTCATTTGAATTTTTGATATAAAGTGTATGTTCATTTTTGTGAAGATACACTTGTTTGGGAGTATTGAATATTGTCTAATAGGAATCTTTAACTTATAAAGTCACAATAGTATTCCTTTGCCTCACTCAGCCTTTGTAACACACTAAACACAGAAGTATTTTTTTTTTTTTCAAACTAGGGTTCTAGTTGCTTGAATAATGGTTCTTAAGAAAGAGAGAGAATTATCGATCAGCTGCCTCTTGCACACCCCCCACTGGGGATGTGCCCGTAACCAAGGTACATGCCCTTGACTGGAATTGAACCCGGGACCTTTCAGTCTGCAGGCCGACCCTCTATCCACTGAGCCAAACCGGTCCCGGCCACAGTGGATATTTTTTGCGGCCCAGCCAATAAAACGGTATGTAAGAAACATTATAATAAAAATTTCTTTAACTTTTTACACTATCCTGTTATACATTATACTAATAAAAGGGTAATATGCTAATTAGACTGGCAGACCTTCTGGGAGAACTTCTGGAAGTCTTTCCAGACAAAGCAATGGTGGCGGGGCAGAGGCAGGGATGGTTAGAGGCGATTAGGCCAGGAGGGGAGGGCAGTTGGGGATGATCAAGCCGGCAGGGGGAGGCAGTGGGGGGCAAGCATGCTGGCAGGAGAAGGCAGTTGGGGGGTGGGGGTCAGGCCAGTGGGGAAGGTAGTTAGGGGTGAGCAGGCTGGTAGGCAGAGTAGTTAGGGACGATCAAGCGGGCAGGCAGTTGAGTGGTTAGGAGCCAGCTGTCCCAGATTTTGAGAGGAATGTCTGACTGCGGGTTTAGGCCCAATCCCTGGATTGGATATCCCCTTAGGGGTCCCAGATTGAAGGGTCCTGGCCAGGCTGAGGGACCTCCTTCTCTGCACAAATGTGCACCAGGCCACTAGTTCTTAATTAATAATTAACTATAATGTTCCTTAATAATCGTGTTGCATCCATTTCCTTACATGCCTTATGCACAGGTGCATCATTTCTCTCCACTAATACTAGCAGTGAATATTTTAGCAGCTGATTGCTAAGTCATTAGCCTTGGACTGGTTTGTTTGGTGTGCACAACAGGAAATATTTCGCTTTTGGAGAACAAGAAAAATAGATTTGTGCTACGCTCATTAATTTGTGCAGTTATTCAGTGTCTGGTCAGTTACTGTTCAATAAAAATATTTTCATCAAAATGTTCTATTATTTTATGTTAATGATTACTCATTTATTTCAGCCCTTTGTATTCAGCATGTCTCTATTGAAATAAAATGTTTCTATGAAAATTGAAGCTTTTGTGTTTTTGAGGTCCACATAAACTTAAACCTTGTTTATTTGGCCCATGTTAGCCTTTGACTTTGATATGCTTGTCCTAGGGCTACTTCCCTGAGTATGGACAATGTTCCAGAAATATTAATATGGTGTGTTGCCTGTTTTGAATGGGGGGTATTTTTTCTTCTCAGTTCTTCCTTTTGGCCAAGCCACATTATGGGATTACCTTGGCTACATGAAGAATTTCCATATATATATATATATATATATATATATATATATATATATATATATATATATATTTATGTTAGGAGATTATTGATTGGTCAATTTTGTTTTGCTTTTTTTTCTTTTTAATACATTTTATTGATTTTTTACAGAGAGGGAGAGGGACAGAGTTAGAAACATTAATGAGAGAAACATCCATCAGCTGCCTCCTGCATACTCCCGACTGGATATGTGCCCACAACCAAGGTATATGCCCTTGATCAGAATCGAACCTGGAACCCTTGAGTCCACAGGGCGACGCTCTATACTCTGAGCCAAACTGGTGAGAGCTGTTTTGCTTTTCTATTAGTTCACTCATTTCTGAGTTGCCTGCCTTTAGATGCCTGCTGCTTACTCTACGTTTCTAAGTAGAGTTATTCAGCTTAAGTGACTCTAATTGTCAATAGTAGTTAAAGCAAGACCATAAATAACAGGTCAAAATTAAACCACTATTTAGATTAAAAATGATTATATAAAACATATCAAAAGTATGGAACATAAAACATTACTAAGAAGCATTCAATGTTTAAAATGCCTTTTCATCTTAGAGCTATAATATATACATGCATACATAGCTATATATACCTGTGGCTGCTATTCCTGATAAATCTTTTCTCCTCAGATGCACTTATAAAATTTATTGACACATGAGCTTTTCAAAAACCTAGTTATAAGTGACTTGTCACACAGTGAGACAGAAAAACAACTGATATGTATTGTTAATTTTTTCAAGTAATGTTATGTACAGTTTTATTGCCAGTATATGCACAACAGTAAGCATAGAACTATAAATACACAATGTAATTAACAGTAGAAAACAAAATTGTTACAGGTAAAGGGGAGGAGATACAGAGAAACTTCCTGCTGCAAGAACAGAAACAAAGGTAAAAGCCGATGACAAATCCATTCAGTACTCTTAAATTCTTTACATACATTTCTACATTTTGTTCAATTAAACAAAGTACAGATAACTCTGTAACAACAGCAAATGGCTTCCCTAAGAGCCTTTTGCCTTTCCAGTCAAATTCACTTCGTTAGGATTAAAAAAATGTCAGGATGAGCAATCATTAGTATTCTGGTTCCAAATTACCTACTTTGCCTTTCACCAACACTGGTAATTTTTGCAAATTGGCTGCACATGAAAATAGATGTAGCCAAAGGTGATTTTAAAACGTAACAGAAAAATCACCCCTTAGTTTTCCAAAAGACACTATAGGCAGCAGCTCAATTAAAAGTATTAGCCCTGAAGAGGTAGAGAATTTGAGCCCATTATATAATAGCCTTGGCACCATCTTCTCTCTCATCAGGATCAACGTTTTCAAGTAAGAATTTCATGGTAAAAGGAAACCAGGTTCCACCATTTAAACAAAAGGTGCTGGTCGATTCCCATGTCTCAATAATTAGTTTGTTTATTAAATAAGAAACAGAAGACTGTCAAGGACACACATGCACTTGATTTCTTTTTTGTCTGTTTCCATTATCAAGTTTATTTGTAAGTGAATTTGATATTAATAAATATAAAAAAAGCATCATTCACAATAAAGATAAACAAACCAAAAAACCCTGCAATGAAACCTTCCATTTTAATAAGTATTAAGGAAAAAACAGGCAGATGATTTGGTGCAGCTTTCTTAAGGGATCATAGAGGGGACATGGTTTTAAATAAAGATGGCAAGATCAGTAACCAACAAACAATATCAGTTTTACAAAACTGGCTGATTCTGTAACATTTCTCTTTGAAGTCTTAGTTTTAAAACTACAGACCACCCCAAAGAAGTTATAGCTAATGACATGTATCACAATCACACCAACAGAGTCTGGCTGTAGCCCAAATTAGTCCTGCTGTGTTTCACGTCATTTCAATATTACTAGCATAGGACATGATAGGAAACAAAACTCAAAGTAGCAATTAAAAAATATTATCCTGCATTTAATAAAGGCAAAAAATGTTTTAGACTGTTCAACTTTTAAAGCTTTAAGCATTCCTGTTTAACCAGCATTAAAAAAAAAAAAAAATTATACAACCATAACACTGGCAAAGGTTAATGGGGAAGACAAAGAAGTACAAAGAGTGAAATGATAAGTTAAGATTTAAAATTACTTTATATTGATCAACTGTTGTTAATACTGCTTTTTCTTGGATTTGGGATAACTATCATAAAAGTTACATGCAGACTGAGGAGAGCCCTCTGTTACAGAAAATACAAAACGAAACAGAAAACTAAAACTAGGAAACAATGGTAAGCTCCAAAAGATGCATCTGAAAATTTCCTTTCATTGATGAGGGTGGCCTGCGTCCTCCCCTGAGGAGACCTGGTTCGCTTCCACCGGCGTCACTAACTCTGCCCGGGGACATCAGTAGTGGGGTCAGCTCCTCCAGAGCCTGTTTGTGCACGTTTGATGTAAAGATTCAGTAGCTTCATCTGCAGATTGAAAGCAAAGCCAACGTGTCATTAGAGCAAACTGCCCTAATTTATAGTATGTTTATTTAAAAAACTATATATGATACATAGTAGAGGCCTGGTGCACGAAATTCGTGCATGGGGGAGGAGGGAATGGGGATTGTGTGTGTCCCTCAGTCTGGCCTGCAACCTCTCGCAATCTGGGACCACTTGCCTGCCTGATCGCTTTTAATCACTCGCCTGCCTGCCTGATCGTTCCTAACCACCTCTGCCTCGGCCCCTGCCACTGCAGCTTCATCCGGGAGGATGCCCGGAAGGTCGTTTGGCTGTCCAGTCTAATTAGCATATTATGCTCTTATTATTATAGATATGTGAGCTTTAAAAGATAAATTTTGAACAGAAGGGTTATTATAATTCCCAAGTTATTATTATTGACAATTAGAAATTATAAAAAATAATTGGAGAGGCAAAGAAGCTATTTTAAATAATCAGAATCTACAGGCATTTCTTTCACAGCAATCTACCAGCCATCCTACTAAACTGCCTGACTTCCCTTGAGGGGCAAATATGAAAATAGAAACAGCTAAAATGCAAATGGTAGGAGTAATAAGTTGAATGCTCAAAGCATGACTCACTAAAAGCTGAATACAAAAATAAATTTTGTATTAACACAGACACACAAATAAGTTTTGAAGAATGTACCATGGCCAGCATCCTTAGAACAAAGCAGCTCTACTTACTTTACTGCCAGTAAGCTGGCTGAGATGTGGTTTTAGTTCATCCCCGATTACCGCATGAACAGCCACCAGGCAGAAGACACAAGCTTTCCGAACACTGCTCTCTGAATTGTCATAACCCTAGGGAGAAAAGTCCGTATTAGCACTCCTGGGGGATCGGAGAAAAGCACGATTCCAACAGAGACAGAACAGGTAACTCAAGCTTTACTGACCGATGAACTTCTCAACCTTTTCAGGCAGAGACATTCCCTTCTTTCCTTCCATCTCCCCTTCGGCACCTCCACTGTTAGCCTTCCTTCCCTTTATTTAGCCTGGAAAGCTGCAATTCTCTGACTCTGAGGCTTCCCCTTTGCCAATCCACCCTGCAAAAAGCCTCCAGATTAACCTCCCTAAAGCATTCAGTTTTATAGAACTCAACAGCTCCTCACTAGCAAATAAAGTCTCCTTGGCCTGGCAGTCAGGGTACTCCTATTATATAATCCAGGCTGAGTTAAGCTTAGTATCTGTCCCATTCCTACCACTGCTCCAAACTGTTCATCCGAGGTTTTATTCAGTATTCATGATATGTGTGACATACACGTTATATATGTGTGTGTGTATGTGTGTGTGTGTGTATATATATATGTAAATATATATATTCTTAGTATCAAAACATAGACCTGTGGTCGGCAAACTGCGGCTCGAGAGCCACATGCGGCTCTTTGGCCCCTTGAGTGTGGCTCTTCCACAAAATATCACGGCGTGGGCGAGTCTATTTTGAAGAAGTGGTGTTAGAGGAGGTTTAAGTTTAAAAAACTTGGCTCTCAAAAGAAATTTTAATCGTTGTACTGTTGATATTTGGCTCTGTTGACTAATGAGTTTGCTGACCACTGGCATAGACCAAGAAGAAAGATATTTGGATCTGATCTTTAAGGATCTCACAATTAAAAATTTTAGGGCTTAGAATAAAGTCACAAAGATAATGCACAAAGAAATAAATGATTAATTCTCTTCAGGAGGGGGGGGTCTTAATATTTACACTATTGAATTAAAATCACATAATAGAATATTATTTATTGGATGGCAGAAATCTCATAATCTATGAAGTTAAGCAAAGCAAGTTATAAATATAATTCCATATTTGTCATAATGTTTATATGAATGGGTTTGTGTGCATAGAAAAAAAATGCATTACATTTATGGCTATAAATTACGACCTATTTGAAGAGGAAGCTGGTAATACCTAGGAATTCTATTTCTAGATATATATATACACAAGAAATTTTGCTGTACTACATATTTATTTTTTTTTTATTTTTTTTAGTTTTTAAAAAAATATATTTTATTGATTTTGTACAGAGAGGAAGGGAGAGAGATAGAGAGTTAGAAACATCGATGAGAGAGAGTCATCGATCAGCTGCCTCTTGCACACCCCCTACTGGGGACCTTTCAGTCCCCAAACCGACGCTCTATCCATTGAGCCAAACTGGTTTCGGCTGTACTACATATTTAATTAAAAAAAATGGAAACACCCACATTTCCAACAACACATTAATTGATAAACAAATAGTGGTATAGCCCTAGACAGTCTGGCTTAATGGATAGAATATCAGCCCATGGACTGAAGGGTCCTGGGTTCAATTCTGGTCAAGGGCATGTACCTCAGTTGCAGGCTTTATGCCTGGTCAGGGCGCACACAGAGGCAACCAATTGATATGTCTCTCTCACAATAATGTTTCTCTCTCTGTCTCTACCTCTCCCTCCCATTCTATCTAAAAATCAATGGAAAAAATATCCTCAGGTGAGGATGAACAACAACAACCACCATCACTCCCACTCTCACAAACCCCGCATAAATTGTGGTATAAACATACCACTAAATGGAATATTATTCAGCCAAAAAAAAGAGAATGAAATTGGAATACATTGGAACACAACCCTAAAAACATTATGCTAAATAAAATGAGCCAACCATAAAAGAACAAACGCTGTATGATTCTACCTATATGAGGAACCTAGAAAGTAGAACAGAAGTAACCTGGCACTGAGAGGAGAAAGAATGAGGGGTCATTGATTAATGGGTACAGAGTTTTATTTGGGATGATTAAGAAGTTCTGAAAATGAATAGTGGTGATGGTTGTGTAACCTTGTGAATATATTTAATGCCATGAAATTGCACACTTAACAATGGAAAATTTTATATTACATATATTTTAACACACACACACACACACACACACCCCACTTGCCTACTGTCTTGGATGTTCAGAGCAAATAGGCAGGCTTGGTCATGCCATTAGTGTTACCTGGAAAAGTGCCTAAAATTAACTAAATCCCAAATCAATCATAGCTTATTCCTCCAAACTTAGCTGCTTACCTGTATTAGGCCTGGCATAATTTCTGGTAAAAGCAGATTAAGAGTTTCCTTGGACACTCTCTCTATCACTTTTGTTTGCATTTTGATTGCAGCAAGATTAATGGGGTAATCTGCAGTTTGGATGATAGGACAAAGCACTTTGATGCACTGCTCTGGACTGATTGAAGTGGCCAACACAGATGCAGCTTCCTCAGCTGATCTCACCACCTAAAACAAAGAGGAAATTGAGAAGGGAAGTAATAATAATAATAATAATATATTTATTTTAATATTTTATTGATTTTTTTTTTACAAAGAGTAAGGGAGAGGGATAGAGAGCCAGAAACATTGATGAGAGAGAAACATCGACCAGCTGCGTCCTGCACACCCCCCACCAGGGATGTGCCCGAAACCAAGGTACATGCACCTGATTGGACTTGAACCCAGGATCTTCCAGTCCGCAAGCGGACGCTCTACTCACTGAGCCACACAGTTTCAGCAAAAATGTATTTTTTATACTGTGTCCTGGAAGTACAAACTTCATGAAATAGTTACTAGGACATAATAACTGGAACTTGCTTTGAAAATATTATAGTAAACAAATAATCACAAAGTAAGAGTATTAATAAAACAGGGTTGGCAAAATGTAACTGTTGAAGCTAGGAAATGAATTCATGGGTTTTTATTAAATAATTTTTTCTTCTTTTGTGTTATTTTATTGTTGGCTAAAATGATTTTAAAATCATATTGTGGTCTAGTTGTGCAGGGAAGTGAAGGCTTTATTTACCTAGACTACAATGTGGAGTCTTCCACATCAGCCACAGTGAGATGCTGCTCACAATCAGTGTCCTCAACTTCAGGAGTGCTGTGTCCCCCTTTACCACATACCCATATTTTCCGGCGTATAAGAGGACCCCCTAATTTTTACAGTTAAAACATAGGTTTAGGCCTATATTCGCTGTATAAGACTACCCCCCACTTTAAAGAAAAGACTTACTTTGTCATCAAGATCTGCAGGTAATTTTTGTGCAGTTTTGATTTTTTTTAAAAATATATATATTTTATTGATTTTGTACAGAGAAGAAGGGAGAGAGATAGAGAGTTAGAAACATCGATAGGAGAGAGTCATCGATCAGCTGCCTCTTGCACATTCCCTACTGGGGATATGCCCGCAACCAAGGTACTTGCCCTTGACCGGAATCGAACCCGGGACCCTTCAGTCCCCAAGCCAACGCTCTATCCATTGAGCCAAACCAGTCTCGGCGCAATTTTGATCTTTTGCCCCCGATTTTCGGTTGACTTTTTTTCGTTTCAAAAGTCGTCTTATACGCCGGAAAATACGGTAATTACAACATAAAACAGTCAATACGTTATCAAGTAACATGCTACTCCTCCTTCTGTTCACAATGATTTTCTTTCCTTCTGTATTAGGCTTGGGCTTCTCTTTTCAATAAAGAAACAGTTGTCAATCTTCTTGTTAGAATCTGTAATCTCTAATGACTATCTTAAAAACATGTAAAAAATCACTGTTTTTCATGCTACTTTGGTAGTGTCTTCCTTATGATCTCCATCTGTGAGAGGTGCTCAGAAAGGCACAGGGAAAAATACACTGGAAATCAGAAGACCCAGGGCTGATTTCAGCTATAACACCTTAAGAGTGTCAATTTTATCTTTTGTAAAATAGGGATATTACAGGCATTATTTGGGTCAGAAGGTGGGTAACTAAACTATAAATATTAGTTTTTTTGACATTCAGCAAGATGTTAAACACCAGCTGAAGAAATCTGAGTAAAAATCCAGGCAGATTGAAAAGTTATGATTCATTCTCCTCTAAGGTTCACAATCATATCTCTTTTCTTTTCTTTTCTTTTCTTTTCTTTTCTTTTCTTTTCTTTTCTTTTCTTTTCTTTTCTTTCTTTCTTTCTTTCTTTCTTTCTTTCTTTTCTTTTCTTTTCTTTTCTTTTCTTTTCTTTTCTTAAAATATATTTTAATGATTTTTTACAGAGAGGAAGAGAGAGGAATAGAGAGTCAGAAACATTGATGAGAGAGAAACATCGATCAGCTGCCTCTTGCACACCCCCTACCGGGGATGTGCCCGCAACCAAGGTACATGCCCTTGACTGGAATCGAACCCGGGACCCCTTAGTCCACAGGCCGACGCTCTATCCACTGAGCCAAACCGGTTCCGGCCACAATCATATCTTTTCAAAAGTGAGTTACAGAGGCTTTCAATTTCTTCATATCCTCACCAACACTTCTTAGTGCCTTTGTCCCTGGTCTGTGTTAAGTGGTATCTCACTGTGGGTTTTACTTGCATTTTCCTAAGTCTAAGGATATTGAGCATTTTAGTCTTATTGGCCATTTGTATAACTTATTTGCAGAAAAGTCAATCCAGATCTTTTGCCCATTAAAAAAATATATTTTTATTGATTTCAGAGAGGAAGGGAGAGGGAGACAGATAGAAACATCAATGATGAGAGAGAATCATTGATCAGCTACCTCCTGCACACCCCCATAGGGGATTGAGCCTGCAATGCAGGCATGTGCCCTTAACTGGAATCAAACCTACCACTCATCAGTTTGCAGGCCAATGCTCTGTCTACCGACCCAAACCGGCCAGGGCTTTCGCCCATTTAAAAAAATATATATATTTTTTATTTTTACAGAGAGGGAGAGGGGTAGAGAGTTAGAAACATCGATGAGAGAGAATCATCGATCAGCTGCCTCTTGCAAACCCCCTACTGGGGATGTGCCCACAACCAAGGTACATGCCCTTGACCGGAATCGAAACTGGGACCTTTCAGTCCGCAGGCCGATGCTCTGTCCACTGAGCCAAACCAGTTTTGGCAAGGATACTTTTAAAGCAACATTTAAGTTTTATGCAGTATAGGAGTCCCCCAGTTTTCTGGGGGCTCAGTTATCTGCACTCAACCATGGTATAAAAATATTAAGTGGAAAGTTGCAGTAAGAAATCATACATTTTAAACAGCACGCTATTCTGAATAGCATTATGAAATTTTGCATCACCCCACTCCGTCCCGTATGGGACGTGAATCATCCCTTTGTCCAGCACAGCCTATGTTATATACACTACCCCCTGTTGGTCACTTAGAAGCCAGTTCCGTTAACATATCCATTGTTGCAGGATCAGTGCTTGTGTTCAAGTTGCCCTTCTTTGACTTAATAATGGCCCAAAGCGCAAGAGTTGTGATGCTGGCAATTCAGATGTGCCAAAGAGAAGCGGTAAAGGGCTTCCTTTTAGTGAAAAGATGAGTAGAGTGCAATAGGATATTGTGCAAAAGATCACATAACTTTCATTACATTATATTGCTGTAATTGCTCTATTTTATTATTAGTTATTATTGTTAACCACTTACTCTAACTTATAAGTTAAACTTTATCATAGGCATTTATAGGTAGAAAAAAAAAGACAGTAAACATCAAGTTCGGTACCATCTTCAGATTCAGGCATCCACGGTGGGTCCTGAGGAAAAGGGGGGCTGCTGTGGTATCAGAAGTATTAGGAATGAAATACTAATCATGTAAGCATCAGGTAACTTACCTCCTTATGAGGGTCTTTATGTGCTTCCAATGTTTTCATGACAGTCAGTTCTGCATAGTTTTTAAATCTTGCTGGTTGATGCCTTAGGATTTCTTTTAAAACCTTTAATGCCAAAGCCCTGATTGTAGGCTAAGAAGAAACATTTTAATGTTTTTAATATTTCGGGTTGTAGATAATCTTTTACATTTCCCATGTTCTGAAATGTAAGGATCTTAATATGGAGGTGAGGGTCAGGGGATCATAGACAACTGCATAAAGTATGTGGAATATTGCATAATTAAATTTTCACATCTCTAGTTGAAAACATACACACATCTTTAAAAAAAACTGAGAACCAACTAAATACTACTAAAAAGCAAGTTTTACTTTTGAACTAATTTAAGTAGGCAAACAAGTAACCTGTACTCTCCTGTAAGACCTGTCAGCAACCTCTGATTTTTTACCATTGTCAATTAATAAAAATTGTTGGGCTACTGGGTTTATAAGAAAAGGCACTTTACAGTGAAAACTTCATGCAGAAAGCAGCAGCAGGAGACTCGTTTTCCCAATTTTCAAATCTGTGTAGTGCTTGGTTAATTGGCAGTGACATGCAACCCAAGACAGGAAAAAACAGGCGACTATTTACATCCTAGAGGCCTGGTGCACGAAATTCATGCACTCGGGAGGGTCCCTCAGTCAGACATCCTTAGCACTGCTGCGGAGGCAGGAGAGGATCCTGCCATCGCCGCTGCCTTTGCCAGCCATGAGCCCGGCTTCTGGCTGAGCAGTGCCCCCCCCTTCCCCCGTGGGAGCACACTGGCCACTGGAGGCAGCTCCTGCATCAGACGTCTGCCCCTTGGTGGTCAGTGTGAGTCATAGCAACTGGCCATTCTGCCTTTTGGTCAATTTGCATATTAGCCTTTTATTATATAGGATTATGCCATTTACCTCTTTATCCCCAAGGGTTTCAAGCAGTAAAAGTAATATTGTTTTAAAGTGTTCATCCCAAACACTAAAAGATTCTTCCTGGGTTAGTTTCATAAGTTCATAGAGGGCAATTTTTCTTTCTTCTACCCGTTCATTATGGTTCGACAACTCCTTCAATAACTCCGCAACTAGGTCAGAATGGTCTAGGGAAAGATCTGTCAAAGGACATGGCATTAATTTTATAACTTTATACATAAATTCTCACAAGTATGGAGTTAACAACTTCATAACATAAAACAATGCTGGCTGTAAAACAAGAGAAAATTAAGTAATTTTCTTTTCCATTTATCTTTCCAAAACACCAATGTTAGTTTAAAACATTTTTATAATAAAAATTCATGAGAGATTACCATATAATGAACCTCCATATACCAATCAAGATTTAACAATCATATTTTTACCATTTTACTTCATATTTGTGCACTGTTTTCTGAAACATTTATCATAAATACCAACTATTTTACACTCGCATACTTAAATATGCAAAGGAAAAAAAAAAGAATGAGTATTACTTCAGTTTTGTCATTCTGCTATAAAAATTAATGACTGAAATGGTGTCTAAAGATAAATTTATAAGCTACCATTGGTTTCAGTTATTTCTGGGAGGCCGTTAAGGTTTTCTTCATTTCAAGGATAATCTTAGAATGATCACTGTTTCCCATTCTTGGGAAGACATCTACCAAACCATTAAAATGAGCTCTGAGAAGATGGGAGAAAAATTGACCACTGCTAAGATCCCTTCTTCTTAGGATACAAAAAAAGAGCAGCTTTTGCTTCATCGAGGATCAGGCCTCCAAAACACAGGCAGTAACAGTATGACACAGAGCATACGTACCATCAGGAAACTGGTCGGCATCATCATCAAACATAGCTTCCTTGAGGGCAGACTTGTTAAAGGGACTGATGCTGTCTGAATAGTTGTACGGGTTATAATCTCGAGAGCGCGGAGAGGAGTGAGCAGGAATGGAATGGAGTAATGAGGCTTTATTGTCAACGGCTGTTTGGCTTGAGTCAGTAGCATCACCTCCTGCTCTTGGGTCAGGCATCCCAGGACCACCACACATCTGTTAACAGGAAAGGGAAGACATAGCACATTAATTCATTTTCAAGGTAACAACAACCTGCTGAAAGAAATTTACGTACTGGAAAACAACGAGTTAAAATTTACATTCAAAATGTCAAAGCTTATAGTAAAGATGTAAAGAAACTTGTTGTTTATTTACAACCTATAGGTTGGATCCCTGGTCAGGGTATAAACAAGAATCAGCCAATGAGTGCATAAAAAGGTGGAACAACAAATGAATGTTTCTCTCTCCTTTCTCTTCTCTCTCTCTAAAAAAAATCAATCAACCAAAAAAAATAATTATAAAAATTAAAAAGAAACAGCAAGGAGACCAGTGTGGTTGAAGAAGACTCAACAGGGAGGAAAGTAAGAGGAGATGAAGCCAGAGAGGCAACAAAGGAAAAAAGTGAATTGTGGAGACTTCGGCTTTTACTCTGAGACAGAGACCTCCGAGGTGTGAGTAGAGGAGTAAGAAGAGAGTAGGAGGACAAAGGCAAAATCAAGGAGGCTAGTTAGTTAGGTGTCCATTTTAATAACCCAGGTGAGAGAATTAATGATGATGATGGCTGGAACCAGAAAGGCAGTGGTGAGAAGTAGTTGGATTTCAGATATATTCTGAAGATACTAGTATACCCTGACAGACTATGGAGGATAAGTATGTGTGTGACCCCTGGAAAATTAAGTTTGCAAATGATAGAAAGCAAAGTTAAAAAAACAACAACAACCAGCTCTAGCTGTTTGGCTCAGAGGATAGAGTGTTAGCCTGCAGACTGAAGGGTCCTGGGTTCTATTCCTGCCAAGGGCACATGCCAAGATTGTGGGCTCAATTCCCAGTAGGGGATGCGCCAGGAGCAGCCAATCAATGATTCTCTCATCATTGATGTTTCTACCTCTTGCCCTAACCTCTCTGAAATCAATATATTTAAAAATAAAAACAAAAAAAAAAGAACAACCCAAACAAAAAATTCTTAATGAAAAAGTTAGTAGTGTAAGAATATTCAAATACTCACTGAATCTCCATCATCTTTTTTAGAATCCCTTTTCAATGGCTCATTCATATCTTCTTGACTACGGAAGCTGAAATTCTGAATTGCTTCAGTGACACCTCTAAGAGAGCTATAAATGTCTTCAGAGTTCATATTTTCTGTGTCATAATCAAATGCACTATAAAAAAGACATCAACTAATTTTCATTTATGTAGTTTTAAAATACTAACACATTTGAGGAAATCATGTAGGATATTTATAAAGATGGGATTAGAGAATGTATTCCCCAAAGCAAAACAAAATCCAACAGCTACAGATGGTTAAAGTACAAGTCCCCTTGCCCACCTATTAAGGACAGCTTACAATGACTCTGACCATGTCACAACTGGTTTGTCTTTCAGCTTTAAAGATGTTCTGATTTAACCAGGGGCCAGCAAGCTATGCCCCTGAAATGTAATAATGGTTTTTTACATGTTTAAATAGTTGAGAAAAAAAAAATCAAACTATTTCATGACACATAAAAATTATATAAAATTAAAAATTTAGGGTGCATAAATAAAATGTTAGTAGAATATAGCAATCCTAATTTATTTGAGTATTGTCTATGGCTATGTTCACTCTATAACATCAGAGGTGAGTAGAAGTGACAAAGACTGCATGGCCACAAAGCCTAACATATTTACCATATGGCCCTTTGCAAAAGATTTGCTAACTCCTGTGATTAACTCACTAAATGTATTTAATGTATTTACAGAAGAAGGCAGAGAATTTTTAACACTGAACATATTATTGACATGAATTCTGTAATCACATTCTAAAATTCAATTGAAGCTGAAATGTAGCTATTAAAATTGCTACATAACAGGAAGAAATAGCTACATGAAAAGTGTGCAACATATTTTTCCTCCTTATGCTGATTACGTAGTCTTTAATTGTAATGAGTATGATGAAGCATGGTATGTATAGCTAATAACAAAAAATCCAGCTAATAACTACAAATGTAATACTATGCAAACTACTTTTTAAAAGGATAGGAAAAAGGAAAAAACTACTAGTTTATATATTTTATTGATTTTTTACAGAGAGGAAGATAGAGAGTTAGAAACATCGATGAGAGAGAAGCATCGATCAGCTGCCTCCTGCACACCCCCTACTGGGGATGTGCCTGCAACCAGGGTACATGCCCTTGACCGGAATCGAACCGGGGACCTTTCAGTCCACAGGCTGATGCTCTATTCACTGAGCCAAACCGGTTTTGGCAAAAACTATTAGTTTTTTAACGAGTCAAAACTCCATCTGAATTGTACAAGTGTGTGAAAATTATATGTGTTATATTTTATATTAAGGACCAATCTCAGTTACATTTTCCTTAATTAGTATTACATAATGTTATCCCTTCTCTATTTTTGTTTTGTCTGTAAGCTTTATTTTTTTCTACTTTTAGAAGTGGTTGGCTGATATTAGATCTAAATATCCATCGTTATAACTTGCCCTCATCATTTTCACCAAGTAGTATAACTAAAAGACACAATTTGCAATTTATTGGATTTGTACAGCATATTTGAGAAACTTAACTATGCTATTCAATGTAACAAGCTGTAATTTACAAAAGCTATGTCACTAAGTTTTCTTTTGACTTATTAAAAAAATTCTGTATCATATACATTATTATCATTTAAATGGTTACTTTTGGAATAAATGTTATATATTTTTTTGAATCTACTAAGTTTTTATTTGTCTGAAACCTTTTAAGTCAAGTGGAAATCAAATGGAAGTATATTAACGTCTGTTTTTCAGTAACGGGAATCTGCAATAACAAACCATGGTGGAAAATTATCCCTTTATTACCTTGGAGATAAAGTATTCTGTGATGTATTGGTAGGAGAAGTAAGAGGACTGGACCAGTTGGCTGGTGAACGTGGTGTTGGTCTTGTCAAAGGACTCCCCATGGAACTCTGATGGAGGGAGTCAAATAAATATTAACGTATGATAGTTGTGAAAAGTTGAATAAAAACGCTCTTAAGGCATACAATCAAGAAGCTGAACAATATGAAAGCCATATTTATAGGTCTACCATTTAAATATTCATGTACTTATCTCTGATTTCTGTAGAAATTTTTTCCCCCATTTAGAATTCTAACGCTTCAGTCTTTTTTTTTGTTCTCCTCAACCACTGATTATTATTATCAATATATTTTCATCAAAGATTCAATACAATCCCAAATTAAGAATTTTAAATTAGTTTCCTGTTCTGAGCCAATTTCCTTTTTCTTTTTGTTAATCCTCACCTGAAAATATTTTTCCATTGCTTCTTTAAAAGAATGAATTCTATAATCACATTCTAAAATTCTGAGAGGAGAGGGAGAGGGGAAAAGAGAGAAACAGCAATGTGAGAGAGACACATTGGTTGGTTGCCTCACACATATGCCCCGACTGGGCAAGGATTGAACCTGTAACCCAGGTACATGCCTTTGACCAGGAATCCAACCCAAAACCCTTTGGTGTGTGGGCCAATGCTCTCAACACTGCACAACACCAGCCAAGGCTTGAATTTTATTCTTCCCTGAGTTTGTTTTACAAACGATTTTCATAAATCACCAAAGGCTTAAAAATCTGGTCATATCATAATTTGCCTATCTCTTAAGATGTATAACAATCCATTCTCCTTTTAAAAAGATAATTGACTTTGGTCCAAAGAAGTTATTTTCAGATTGTTTTTATCATTCAGACTTTACTTTAAGCTTGCCATAGTGAATCTATTTGCTCCTTTAGCCATTATCAAAGGTCTGTCTTTTAAAAACAAGTTCAATTTTTTAGGCATATTATATAAATGATCCTATAGCATTTAGATGTATATAACTGCATTGTTTCATTTACTCAAACTTCATTTCTCCCAAATAAAATCCAATATATCCAGCACCTTTGGACTGACAAGCCTGTAATTATTAAATATGAACACATCTTTAAAAAATATTTTTACTGACTTCAGAGAAAAAGGGAGAGGAAGAGAAAGGTAGAAACAATAATGAGAGAATCATTGATTGGCTGCCTCCTGCATGCTCCACACTGGGGATCAAGCCTGCAACCTGGGCATGTGCCCTGACTGTAAATCAAACCATGACCTCCTGGTTCATAGATTGATGCTAAACCACTGAGCCACACCAACCGGGCTGAACACATCTTTTTATGCACTACCCTCTTTGGATTTATACATTAGTTCTGGAATAAATCATCCCTCTAGTCCTAAAATAAGACTGGTTCATCTAAATAGCATGTTCTAATTTAATGGCATGCAAAGTTGATGCCTTCATCTAAGTTCTTGCTCACATTTCTTTCCTTGTTCATACTCTGGTCACCATTCACTACCCTAATCTATACCAAATTATAATATAAACATGACAGGCCTAGGGATTCTATTTTTTCTGGGACATCAGTTAATTCGGCTCAAGGGTCAGAAGTTTATTTCACGTAGAAAAAAAAAAGCAGTAATTGTTAAACCAACCATCCTATTATACAAGAGGCCTGATACATGAATTTGTTCACCAGTGGGATTCCTCAGCCTGGCCTGCGAGATCATGCTGAAGCTGGCTCTCCGACATCGCCCAAGGGGTCCTGGGTTGTGAGAGGGTACAGGCCAGGCCAAGAGACCCCATGGATGCACGATAGGGGCGGGGAGAGATGCAGGAGGTTGGCCATCCAGATAGGAACTGCGGGAGGGCTCCAGGGTGTGTTTGGCCTATCTTGCTCAGTCCTGATTGGCTGGACCCCAGCTAACTTATCAACCGTAGCATCTGTCCCCTGGTGGTCAGTGCATGTCATAGTGAGCGGTTGAGTGGTGTTAGCATATCATTAGCATATTGTGCTTTGATTGGTTGAACAGTCAACCAGACGACCAGACACTTAGCATATTTGGCTTTTATTATATAGGATAATAGGTAAGAAAAGAACTTAAAAATACCTGGGTTCCATTGCCAGTGTTTCGAAGGTGGTTATAAAGAAGCTTGGTAGCACCATCCTGAAAAGTTTTTGGTAAAGCTCCTAATAGCATAGTAAACTCTGGGGTATTGAGTTCAAAGAGGGAAATCAGCACTGAGTGCGCCGCCTAGAAAACAAGTACACACGGAGGTACATGAATATATGTTGGTTACCCAAAGGAGACCATTTTCTTTACTTAGTATTTCTGTTCACTAACACAAAGCTATCTTTCTCAGAAAAACAGAAGTTCTTACACACTTTAAAATTTCTTTATTAGAAATTTTTAACCTAATTACTTGAGCATATGGAAAATATTAGCCATAGACATGTGGCAGGGATGTTGAAAATAGCAACAGATACTTAAAAAAAATTAGAGCCTTGACTGGTGGCTCAGTTGGTTGGATTATCATCTGGCACACCAACAAGATTGCGGGTTGGGTTCAATTCATGGTCAGGGTACATAAGGGAGGTAACTGACTGATGTCTGTCTGTCTCTCCCTTTCCTCTCCCCTTTAAAAAAAAAAAAAAAAAAAAAATATATATATATATATATATATATATATATATATTTTATTGATTTTTTTTAACAGAGAGGAAGGGAGAGGGAGGATAGAGAGCTAGAAACATCGATTAGAAACATCGACCAGCTGCTTCCTACACACCCTCCACTGGGGATGTGCCAGCGACCAAGGTACATGCCCCTGACTAGAATCAAACCCGGGACCTTTTAGTCCGCAGGCCAATGCTCTATCCACTGAGCCAGTTTTGGCCCTCCTTCTTCTTTTCTCTATAAAACCAGTAACAAAAAAACAACCTCAAGTGAAGATAAAAAGAACACCAGAAAGGTCTGATGATATAGGAGTGAATACTTCCAAAGTTAAAATATAAATCTTTTTCTTTGGTGACCAACAATTTATCCATAACTATTCTGAAGGTTATGGGGAGAGATCTAGGAAAGGATGTGGGAATTATACGGGAAAATGTAACGAGGTAGATAGACAGATACATGACTAAATTCATCAAAAGATTGATAATGCCTAAAATTAATAAGTCAAAAACAGTGTAAGCTCTTATTTGAAATACATGGGAAAATAAATACAAGGGGAAAGATTTGAAATATTTTGAATGGTTACAAGATTAGAGGTTAGAGAATTATGGCAAGAATAGTTTCTTATTCTAAGTTTGAACATTATGCTCATATTAAGTGGATAAAACAATTTAAAACAGAAGGTTAAAAAAAAAAAAGGTCTTCATATCACCAGGTAAATAACTCAATGCTAACTGGTAATGACATGAAAATATTAGCTTCCTTCATTGGCAAACCAAAATGACTGACTTGCTTTTCTAATTTATCTTTTAAAATTTATATTAAAATATACCTTCCGAACTTCAGAACTTTTGGGTTCTGTTGTCCAAGTGATAAACCGAGAGACTGCCAAGCGAGTTTCACTGGAATTCACAAAATCTCCTGGGTCCATCTGTTTGGCTAGAGTTTCTATATATTTAAGGATAGCAACCTTCACCTGCAGATGTAAGCACAGCGAGAGGACAATCAGATAGATGGTCACTGAGAGACACTGAGAACACTTCAAAAACAATTAGGTAATTACTTTTTGACAAATAAAAGATGAGAAAAACAAAAGCAACCGACAAAGAATGAAACAACCACCTACCTACCTGGTACAAGTGTATGACAATGTGGGTTTTTGTTTTTCACACACAGCAGTACTTTCAAGTCCCAGACGTTTCACTGCCCAGTTTGAGCAATTGCTGAAGACTCTCTCGACAGAATTATACACCTCTCCTTCAGTCTGCCTTCAGAGCGTATAGCAGACTCTTGTCTAGACTCCCTGAGAGCCAATCTTTATCAACTGAGTATAACTTGGCTTTTGGGAAAATGAACCAAAGTATTTTGAAAATAAGGCATTACAAATCAAGTGAGTAATTAAGGTGAGCCATATAGGGTTTTTGTCAAATAAGGTCCACACAATAAGACCAGGTTCTTTAATAGTTCCATCAAGTGCTAGAACTACCTTCCAACAGAAGTGTTACAGAAAATTTTACACTAATAAAACTAGAGAAAAGACAACACTTATGTGTACAAGAGTTATATGTAGCTTTAAAAAGTCTTATTATTCTCCCAGGAATGATGTATGGCTACATGGTGGGATGCAGGTACACAACTTCTTCCTTAGAATTGGCTGTTTTTATGCTTATAAAAAGCCACAGTTAAATTATCTCCCTTCTCTCAAGTATGTTGGGAAAGAAAAAGAGGTTGAGAACCACTATTTTTATTTATTTATAAATATATTTTTATTGATTTCAGAGAGGAAGGGAGAGAAAGAGAAAGATAGAAACATCAATAGTGAAAGAGAATAATTGGCTGCCTCCCACTTGCCCTTGATTGAAATCGAACCTGGGACCCTTGAGTCTGCAGGTTGACGCTCTATCCACTGAGCCAAAGCAGCTAGCACAAGAACCACTATTTTTAAAATTACATCTTTAAACATTACAGGGTTTATAAATAAGGGCTTTCTAAGATTTTATTAATACCATCCACTTTAGAAAGGACAGCTGGCAGAATGCAGAGTCCTTAGATACAGAAGGTTCCAGACATATAATAAATGCTTTCCTGACTTAAAAAAGGGAAGGCTTAAATGTATGATTCAGAGAGCAACTTTGAAAACATATTGCCAGAGATTAAGGTAATCCATTTTTCTATGCACTTTCTGCTCTTATTGTTGATATTAATGGGTAATTTTTCTCAGTCAGTCCAAATAAGGTCTCTGGAAAGTACCATGCTAATAAACAGAAAGTAAAATATTAAAATAAGGTTCTGCTGCTTGTGTATTTTCTCTTTTCTGTTTCCAGTAAGACAAACAAACACGACAGAAGGTATCAAATTACATATTTCATTTCCAAATGAACGAATTTAAGAATTACAACTTCATGAAATGAATTGGAAAAAAGCAAACACGAAGAGTTAAGTTATCAGCCACCCTGGGTAAAATGTACAACGGAGAAGAAAAGAGACTATGGTTAATTGTGCAGCTGCAGGCCCCACTCAATTACAGCAGAACATAATATTCTGCATTCTTGAAGCCATGTCACCTTCTATCAATGTTAATATCTGAAAGGTGTTAAGTAAATTAAAAAAAAATGAACATCAATGTATGTTGTTTTCAATTTGCTGTCATTAACAACTGAACAATGAGATTCAATTAATTCAGTGCCTTCGCAATTTATAGAGGTATGTAAAGTTTTAAAAGGGTTTCACAGAATAGGTGGGTTTATTATAATAGGCAAAATAACCACAGTGCACAAATAATCATTTGTAAGTTTACATTTTAGTAGAATATTTCTCGAGATTATATACATAGCCTGTAACTTCAATAACACAAACATGCATTCTTCTTAAGAGGAGGAAAAATAAATCTAGTTGCTAGATCAGGTGTATATAATTTTTTAACATATTTATGTAACCCAGAAAAAGAGGTAATCAAATTACATTCATTTATTTATTTAAAAAAATATATATTTTATTTATTTTTTACAGAGAGGAAAGGAGAGAGATAGAGAGCTAGAAACGTCGATGAGAGAGAATCATCGAACAGCTGCCTCTTGCACACCCCCTACTGGGGATGTGCCCGCAACCAATGTACATGCCTCTGACCGGAATTGAACCTGGGACCTTTCAGTCCGCAGACCGACGCTCTACTGCTGAGCCAAACCGGTTTCGGCAAATTACATTTATTTTTTTAAAATATTACTTACTTTAAGTCACTCTGTATTGCCATTTCTCCCTATTCTATTACTTCCTTTCTGACATTTAATCACAGCATACTGTGAGAGACATAAAATTTTAAACAAACATCCATCTTTTATCTGAAAGTTTTATACTTTTTCAAAAGATCTACTTTTTATTTGTATTTTTCTATAAACTATTACGTTTTTATTCTTAATCTTATCACCCATCTGATCGTTACTTCTATTTTTGGTATAAAGTATAGATGGCTCCATGTAACTTCTCCTTGCTATCCTAAAACATCAATTTAAGAGCCGAAGAATCATTTTTCCCTATAGCTTTGCATATATGTATATATAATATATAATGTGTGTGTGTATGTGTAACATAAAATACATAATAAAAAAGACATAAACTGTGATTCCAGTCTCTAATATAATGTTTCCCAATAGGAAAGCTAATTTTAAGTTGTCACTTTCCTTTCTCTCTTCCCTTTGTGTCTTGCTCTTCAGTCCTATTTCTTTCTTTTTTTAAATAAATTTTTATTGTTCTTATTATTATAAATGTTCCTTCCCTTGCCCCCCCAAATGTTCCTTGCTCTCCTCCACCAGGTTCCCATCCCACCCTCTGCCCTTTCCCCACCCCCCATTGTCCTCATCCATAGGTGCACAGTTTATGTTGTCTCTTCCCACATCCCCCTTTCCCCTTTTCCCCAAGAATCGTCAGTTCACTCCCCTTCTAAACCTCTGATTCTATTATATTCACCAGTTAATATTGTTCCTCAGATTTTTTTTTTTAATTTCCTTGGTTTTTAGATTCACTTGATCGTTACATATTTGTTGTTCATAATTTTTATCTTTATTTACTTTCTCTTCCGAAAGAACCGCCTTCAGCAATTCATATAATTCTGGTTTGGTGGTGACGAACTCCTTTAGCTTTTTTTTTTATTAGTGAAGCTCTTTATCTGATCTTCGAATCTGAGTGATAGTTTTGCTGGATAGATTATCTTTGGCTGTAGGTTCTTACTATTCATCACCTTGAATATTTCTTGCCATTCCCGTCTGGCCTGCATGGTTTCTGTTGAGAAATCAGCTGACAATCGTATAGGTGCTCCTTTATAGGTAACTACCTGCTTTGCTCTTGCTGCTTTTAATATTCTCTCTTTGTCTTTTGCTCCTGGAATTTTAATTATGATTTGTCTTGGTGTGGTCCTCTTTGGATTCCTTTTGTTTGGAGTTCTGCGCGCTTTCTGGACTTGTAAGTCTAATTCTTTCACCAGGTGGGGGAAGTTTTCTGTCACTATTTCTTTCAGTATGTTTTTGATATCTTGCTCACTCTCATCTTCTGGGACCCCCATAATTTTGATGTTGGTTCGCTTGAAGTTGTCCCAGAGGTTTCTTATATTATCTTCAATTTTCTGGATTCTCGTCTTCTTGCTTCTGTGGAGGAGTGTCTTCTGGCTCTTTATGTTCCAAATCTTTGACTTGATTCTTGTGATCTTCCATTCTGTTTTTAGGACTCTGTATAACGTTTTTTTATTTCAGACAATGTATTCTTTATTTCTTGTTGATCCCTTATCATTTCTTGTTGATTCCTTATTAATTCTAGTTGATCCCTTTTCATATCCTCATAGGTCTTATCGACCTTTTCTAGGAAATTCTTGAAAAACCTTATAAGCATAGATTTAAACTCTATATCCAGTCGCTTCTTTTCCTCCATTTCTTTCCTTTGTGATCTATTTCGTCTCTGCATTTTCACAGCTTCCCTGATGGGGCGGAGTTTCAGGGTGGAGCCTACAGCCTTGGCTTCCGTCAGCCACACCCTATGCGGCTCCTGAGTCTCAGGGTCCTTCAGTACTCGCTGCAAGCACCTCTGAGAGAAAGGTGCCCTCGATTTTCGCCTGCTACCAAACAGTCTAGGCTCTTCCCCAATGAGCCCGGAACTGGGGTTCAGCTCACATGGTAGTGGGATTGGAGGTGGCATTCAGAGCAGTCTGGGGCCCCAGTCTCCTTCCTGCCAGGGCAATCCCGCGGCACAGCCAACGGGACCTCCTTTTGCCGCTTCCCCGAGGTTCTGCTTTACAGCCCAGCTCCCTATGGATGAGCCTGGGTTCCCGGGGTCTGGCTTAGAACTGGGGTTCAAAGCAGTCGGAACTGGGACCCAGCACAGTCAGAGCTTTTATCTCCTTCCCACTAGGGAACGCCAGCCAGGCAATCAACCGCCCCTCCTCTCCGGCTCCGTCCTCTCCGCGCGCCGCGTGTCTCCGTACCTTTGGCTTTTACAGCTCCTCCGCACTTCCTTCTGGTTTTCTCCTTGCTTCTCGTTGTAGAATTTCCAGTCAGTCAACTTTCCTGTAGCTCTGGGTAATGTCCATTTTATATTTTAGTTGTATTTTATTGAAATTGTTGTGTGCGGCTGTGACTAGGTGTTTACCTGTGCAGCCATCTTGGATTCTCTCCAGAAATGATTGCTCCAGTCCTCTTTCTTTTTATCACCCTTCTTTATTTATTTATTTAAAAAAAAAATATCTTATTGATTTTTTATAGAAAGGAAAAGAGAGGGAGAGAGAGTTAGAAACATCCATCAGCTGCTTCCTGCACACCCCCTACCGGGGATGTGCCCGCAACCAAGGTACATGCCCTTGACCGGAATCAAACCCGGGATTTTTCAGTCCGCAGGCCGACGCTCTATCCACTGAGCCAGACTGGTTTCAGCCGCCCTTATTTCTTAAGCTAATAGCTTAGGCCTCCATTTCCACAGGCCCATGAAGCATTTCTACATACCTTTTTAACACTTGAATATCTACCACCTAAATCATAACCCTCACTACAATTTACAGTTTTTCAGTTATTATAGATAATAATGATAAAATATTATAAGTTCTATATTCATTATAAATTTAAAATATCTAGCATAATGCCTTGGACAAAGAATGAGTTCTAAAAATATTTATCAACAGCTGAAGCCGGTTTGGCTCAGTAGATAGAGCGTTGGTCTGCGGGCTGAAAGGTCCCAGGTTCGATTCCGGTCAAGGGCATGTACCTTCGTTGCGGGCACATCCCTGGTAGGGGGTGTGCAAGAGGCAGCTGGTCAATGTTTCTCTCTCATCGATGTTTCTAGCTCTCTATCTCTCTCCCTTTCTCTCTGATAAAAATTAATAAAATATATTTTTTAAAAATAAAAATAAAAATATTTATCAACAATATAAAATAAATTATTCTCTTCTGCAGGTCACTTTTTAAAATTAAAACAGATGGAATCCCCTTCACAAAGCAGTTCTGAGAAAATAACATTATGTTGAGAGTAAGTCAACCCTGGTAAAAAACATAATTGTGATTTTAAGACAAAAATCATATTTAGAAACTTAAAGAAAATTCAGTCCTAGGCAATAATGCTTGTGGAAATATATTTCGTGCAGAACAGAGCAGAAAATACAAGGATTATCAATGCATATATGCTTGTTATTTCCCTGACTTTACTCTCATTTAATAATATTCACTACAAAACATTTTACTAAAGAATGCAGGAGTTCTTTGGTTTATATTAAATTATTTTTTATTTTAAATTTAATACTTAGTTTTATAACAAATTGGAATTCACCTAGTTTTCACATAATTGGAAAATGTGTGCTAGCAACAATTGAGAAAGTTAATTCTGATTCTAAATATTAGGCACACATCAGAAATATCACTTTGGAAAAAGCAAAAAACATGTTACTATTTCAGTTAAGGAGAAAAGCACTGATATTAATCTTAAAATTTTTTGTTTACTAAAATAAATATAGGTAAAAGTGACATTTCACCCAAAATACCTATTCAGACGCTAAATTTTAAAAAGTATTGGGAAATCACAAACATAAAATTAGATAAGACTTTATAGAGCGATTTTGCATCACAAGCCCAGGGTTAGATGGCCATACTTTGTGTTGCTTTCTAAATGTGTACTCCAAGTAAGCTTTTCCAAAGAATAGCCTGGCATTTGAATAATATTTGAAATTAAATTATGTGCATGCTTACAGGCTTACAAAGGTTAGTAGTTGAACACAGATGCATACAAACACTATCTGAAACACTGCAGACTTTGGAAAGAGAGTTAAGAAAAGAAATAATGCAAAAACAAAACAAAAAAACCTTAGAGCTCCAAAAAGAGTGAAGCTGGTCCCGAAGTGCTGGCTTGACTGTCTGAAAGTTTATAAAAACAAAATCCACTGATTGAAAAACTTCTCATGTGACACAAAGATACACATCAACAGAACTGTATTAATAAAACATTTCAACTCATTATAAAGTCTTCAAAAGGCTTTAAATTTTTACCTTCAAGCTTGGTGTTTGAGTCTGATCAACTGTAAATCTCATTAGAATATTAAACTGAAGATCATTGGGAAAAGATTCTCTAAAATAAGGGGGGAAAAGCAAAACAAAATAAAAATTAAGTCAGCATTTAGCAAATTTAACAGCAAATTATGCTTAAATCAAAATATCATGTCATTCAAAAAGCATGCATGAAGTAATAAGTATCTGTATGTGGTATCATCTATTTGATACGATACACAATAACATATATTCCCTGGAAAAAAATCTCAACATTTGTTTCCTGGAGAGGGTTAAATAGCAATACTATGTAATTAATGGTCTATCTTGCCTCAACTATAGATTTAATTTAAAACCTATTCAGAAAAAGTTCAACATTATCAGAGATGTTTCCTCACACTTAGTATCTAAATTCTAGATTCTTCATAAATCAATAAATGAATAGAATATTTGAAATAAGTCATTTCAACAAATATACAAGAAAGTAAAAATAAAGCATTGGTTCAAAATCTTCAGAAAAAAAGATTCTGAATATTTTAATGCATAATAAAACTTTCTTTTTAAACTTAGAAAATAATTTATTTCTACATTAAATTGAATAAAACCTTCAACTCGAGTTAGTAGATATGTCTTAATTACAACAAAATACCACCTTAAATACTGAACAAATGTTAATGAAATTTTTATTAAAGAAAACAGTGTTTGATTAAGGACCAATGTAGCATAAAACACACAAGTGAATGGGCCTCACTAACAATTTTAAAATGAAGCCTATGCAGTTCAAATGGTTTGAAAAGACTGACATATCTGAACTTTTAACACAGGAACTAAATAGTCCAATTATTATCAGGTAAACTTGAGATATATAAAGAAAATATTACCTTGTAATATCAAGGGCTTTCTGAACTTTTGCCTGCACAGACCCAAGCAAGTCAGCACCCATTTTTTTTAATAGCTGCGTCAATAATACAAATAACCAATCTTGAAGATCATCTTTGTGGACTTGTATGAAGTCCACTAGTGTCTCCAAAAACATGCTGAATACCTACAGTTGATAAACAGGGGAGGAAGGAGAAAAAGGGAGAAATATTGACCTTTATGATCAATCCAAACTGAAATGGCAAGGAATACAGGAGTCAGAGGCACAGCGATTGGCAGCCAAGCAGAAAAATAATCTCTCTTGCTTTTCATTGGACTCTGTGATACAAGAGTACATTTGAAATGTTATCCAACTTCTGCTGAAGTTCGACAATTAGCTATTCCATGCAGCATCACTTGGTAAAGAAACTTTGGCCGTAATGACTGGCACACCTATAGCTTAAATAGGTTAAACTGAAATCCATTTCATCTGAAATTTAGGGCAAGAAACTACCTATAGTTTCACTGGCCCTACACTCTTATGAAGAGTGGCACTGTCATCAGAAGATGACTATGCTGATAGCTACCTTATAGCCTAAGGTCATTCTGACATAATGGGCTAATTAAAGGCTCTTTAGACTTCTCAGAAAGTCAGCTGTCACAGACTTTTTGTTTTATAAGATATATTACTTACTAAAACTGCCCCAAAAGTAATTTTAAATGATTTGGGATAACTATAACTAAAATATGTAAATTCAGGATACAAATTTACATCTAAATTTTAATGATTTTTAAAAAGTCCTATTCTTCATTTCTATTGATTGGCTTATACCTGGTTCCAGTATTAACACACTAGTTTAAAAAAATTTTTCTAAGATGAAAAATATTTTAAGGGAAGGAACGCTAATATTCATAAGTGATGTATGTCATTAAAATACTTATGAAAAGTGACTTTAATGTGTATTATATCTCTTTACAAGAAATTCCACAGCATACTGGAAAATTTGTTTCTAGGTAAATAGGAAAAAAACTCTTAAGACAATGTCAGGCATGTTGTATTGAGACAATTTATAATCACAAGTTATAAAAACTACGGTTTAAAAAAGTTAATCTGAAAGTAACTATTTTAATTTGAAAATTAAAAATTTTGTTCTCAATACATACTTTATTTCTTGAATCTCCTTTATATAATTATATATATTTTTCTATGTTAGAAATAAAGGATTTTTCTATTAAAATTTTAACTAAGCTTTAACATTGTATAAACTGGAAAATATAAATTTTCATTATTTGCTTATAATGCTCTGTATTTGTAAAAGCAGGAACTATGACTATGTACTTAAAATTTTTAGTACTCTGATCCCAGGCAGCATTTGCTTCAACAATGCTCTTATTCACAATGCAGTCATTAACTTCTGTCCCACCCGCAAAGCCACAGCCAAACAACCTGCCTTCTATTAGATTAAAAACTCGGCCTACTGCTAAATTAAAACTGTCTCTGGCCCTCAATTCAGGACTCAGAATACTGTTGAACTTCACTAGACCTGCTCTCTGACAAATGCATGAATCTAATCTAGTACTCACTTTTACTGGTACCTGGCAAATCTATTCAGCCAGGTGTGTTGGAGATGGTTAGCGCCTACTTAGAAAGTAGACTAATAAATATTCATGAATTTTGTGAGCTGATTGGTAGCTTGAAATAAGCCTATGCAGGGGTATTTACACTTCTGAAATTATAGCAAACACCATAGATCAGGGCTTCCTGCCTTTCTCCCAGTCCTGGTTTACCACTACACCACTCTCTTAATTCTTGCCTATTTTCCTAAAGACTCCAAGTTTAAGCTTTTACTATACCAAAATCCATTCTGAAAACTATAAACATTTGAATGCCTAGGTCAACTTTCCAATTTTATTTAGTTCTTAGGAAACAGAACCAGAAAAGTGTCTTGCCCAATGTTTCCATAGCTGGTTTTTGGTTGTGTTCCATTTATTCTATTGCTAAATAACTTAGCTTATCTACTTTACTGTCATTCAACATAGAATTCTCCATTCACTTTTCTCCTACTTTGATTTCATTTATAGCTACACTTCCAATAGTTGTCTCTCTAAAAGAGAGCCATTTTGCCCTGCAGGTGTGGCTCACAAGTTGAGTGCCAACGTATGAACTAGAATATCACAGTTCGATTCCTGGTCAGGGCACATGCCCAGGCTGCCGGCTTGATCCCTTGTAGAGGGTGTGCAGGGGGCAGCTGATCAATGATTCTCTCTCATTGCTGATATTTTTACCTCTCCCTTCCTCTCTTCAATCAATAAAAATATATATTTTTTAAAAAGAGCCAATTTCTTTGTAAGACTAGTATTTCTCTTCTGTATTCTTGCTCTCTAAAGTATGGCCTCCTCCACTATATATTTATTCTCACTTAAATACTTTCTTTACGGATGCAAAAGACGCTGTCTTAAGAATTTCTCCTTCAGCCGGGACCGGTTTGGCTCAATGGATAGAGCGTCGGCTTGGGGACTGAAGGGTCCCGGGTTCGATTCCGGTCAAGGGCATGTATCTTGGTTGCGGGCATATCCCCAGTAGGGGGTGTGCAAGAGGCAGCTGATCAATGATTCTCTCTCATCGATGTTTCTAACTCTCTAACTCTCTCCCTTCCTCTCTGTATAAAATCAATAAAATATATTTAAAAAAAAAAAAAAAAAAAAGAATTTCTCCTTCAATTTCCATCTTAATGTTCCCACTATTGACCTTTTAATCGTGAAATGTAGTAGCTTTTCATAAACTTAGTATGCTTGGTCATTCTGAAGCTTGATACTGCTTTACTCTTATTTTTCCCCTTCTTTCTTCCATTCTTGTTGCCAAGCATTTTCCTCAATGTGGGGTGACTTAAGAGCCAGTCTTCCCCCTGATTCTCTTTCAATAGGAAGTATGACCATGACAGGGCCTTTCTGACCTAGCCTAGTAGGTCCCAGGACTTCTAGAACAGTTCTCTCTTTTGGCCTTCCTCAATCTATCAATCTCACCATCACTGTAGGCACCAGGCCTTTCTCACCAGGTTTGGGTTTTTGTAGTAGCCAGTCTTTAGTTTTTCTATTTCTGTATACCAGGGTGGAAAAAGCATTTCTGGAATAGGCCAGATAGTACATGTGCTAAGCTTTTGCAGGCCTCATGATGGTGTTTGTCACAATTATTTAACTCCACTGTTGCCGCACAAACACAGTATGCAAGCACACGAGCATAGCTGTGTTCCAATATAACTTTATTTACAAAATAGGTAGCAGGCCAAATCATGCTTTTTTCTCACCATAATATTGTAATATCACTCTTTTGATATAAATAAAATCTTTGAATGTCCCCACTTTCACAGTCTATAGGATAATGCCTCAAATACTTAGAGACATCAGTTAGACATCTCCAAACTGACCTTGGACTATCTGGCAACACAAACTCTTTTTCCCTGAACACGTATCACACATATTCCTAATTTCCTTCCATACTCCTCACTCACTCTATTTACACACAGTATGTGACTCACTGCTACCACTTACTTCCAAGCTTAGAAGCTTCTTGGATAATAGCCACTGACTGATTCTTCCTACTTGAAACTTGTGGGACTAGCTTTTTAACTTTTTCTATATTTATATTATTTTTCCATCTGGAATATAGAAGATTTGAGAATAAAGACTATATTTTTATACAGTCTTGCATCATGTACTTGAACCAAGCTCAAGGTTATTAAAGGCTAAGGATCAAGCATAAAGTTGTTCAATGAATGTTTAGGAAAAGTTCCTTGAAGAGTAAGAATTATCTCCTAAGTGAAACTTGCCCTGTAATTAACTGGCAGCCAAGCTTTTTTCTCCAATGCAAGGGAAGCTATATAAGACTCCCATTACCTCAGCTAAATTTAACTTCTTTTTCTTCCTATAAACTTTCTGAATCTCCCACTTCTCAGGACTCAAGCTAGCCCAATAGTCTCTTTCTCTCATGCTAACATATCCAAAGTTGATGATCCCTGCCAAACTATTGCTATTTCCTTCAAAAAGACTTCTCTTGAGTCTCCTAAGTAAAAAGTTCTTTTGATTAAATATAATGTGAGTATAGCTGAATAAAAATGTATACGTGGTATTGATAGTTTTCTATATATAGAACTATACTATTATTTTTCAAAATACTTATATCCTATCAATGGTACTTACTAACTGGTAATATATAGCTGTTATCTACATGTATCAATCTAAAAAAAATATATTGGGAATTTCACATTTCTTACTTGATTGTCCTATCACAAAGAGTTTACTGTCAAATGTTGATACTCTCCCATTTCCTTATCTATGATTAAAGGAGAAAATGAAAAGTGAATATGCTAATATAATACTAGGGCTAAAAATTTGAAGAAAATGTTGAGAATCACTGCTCTGTTTCTTCTTAAGGAATGACATTATTATAATATTAGAAAGTACATATGGGGTGTATGGAACTAAATTTTTAAAAATAATAGTGAAACTTGGAAATTATGTTATTAATTCAATGGAGCCAAACTCAATGGAATCAACTTATGCTCCCACAAATCTCACAAATATAACTTATTGGGGGGGAAAATCATAATATTTGAGCTATTACAATTGAGGCAGCCTTTTCTTAACCTTGCTTGTATCTTAGGTGTGCCAGTCATCAAATACAGAACAGAAGAACATAATCAAATTAGATTAATTAGTAGATTAAAAAGCACATCTCCAAACAGAATGACAGCTTGCAAAACTGCGAATAGCATTTCGTGGATTGCAAAGGGTCCAACACTGCATGAACTCTTCGGGAGAGAAAATAGAGAAAAAGGGTTAATTGCACAGTCATGCAGTAGAGTTAGGTTTCCAACAAATATTGAACCAACTTACTCTCTATTGAGAGTTCCAACACAGGGGACAGCATGCAAAAAGAAAAAAAGAAAAAAAAAGAAAAACACACAAATTAGTCGCCATCAATGCAAAGTTCCTGTATGGAAGAAAAACACTTAGAAAATAAAAGTGACAAATGTTTTTCAGTTGTATGATAAACTCAAAATAGTTTTCAAAACAAGAGTTCAATGAGTAGTATGGAAAAAGAGCATGTGATTTTCCTGTCTCTCTCTCTCTCTCATTTCCTTACAAAGGAAATTAAAAATAAAAAAATCTCCTTCCCCCTAGACTCTA